TAAATCAGATTAAGACTTGAGCAAGTCATCTCATAAGGGTATTTGTGCTGCAGTAGGCTTTGGAATTCACGACCTGATGGAGAGCAGTGTCTCGACTTACATGCCTGTCTCTCTGTCTGTCTATCCATCTATTTTTATTTCTTTATTTTTTTTTATTTACTCATGGAGCTGAGACCTTCTGGAGGAGTCGCCAATTCTGCAGCTACTCAAGAATTTCCCAGCATTTTATGGAACCCGAAGGTTCATTACCGTGTTCACAAGAGCCCTCCACTGGTCTCTATCCTGAGCCAGATCTATCCAATTCATACCATCCCACCATATCTCTCTAAGATCCATTCTAATATTGTCCACCCACCTACGCCTTTGTCTTCTCTGTGGTCTCTTTCCTTCTGGCTTTACCACCAATATCCCATATGCATTCCTCGTGTCCCTCATTCGTGCTACATGACCTTCCCACCTCATCCTCCTTGACTTGATCATTCTAATTATACTTGGAGAAGAGTACAAGTATATCCATCTATATCTGTCTATATCTATTCCTGTTGCTCCCAATTGGATCATAGGGCATCCGTGAAACGTTTCTTTTCACTTCAGTTTCTTAATCTTTAGACAGTCGGTAGGACTCCATGAACGGGGGATCAGCCCGTCACAAGGCCACTACCTACACACAGAACAACACAAACATAATAAACGCAGGCAAGCATCTATGCCTCCAGTGGGATACGAACCCACGATCTGTGTTCGAGCGAGCGAAAATAAGTTCATGCCTCAGACCGCGTGGCCGCCAATTGGCATGTAGTTCAGTATACATACCAATGACGAAGAATGCATAATCACTGAGAACGCATTTGAAAATTCCGCGTACCCCGAACTGAGTAGGCCTCATCCTTCTTACACTGTTTCGTATGTTTTGTCCTAACCTGGACTACAGCGTCGACTGGATGGAGTGGAAGTATGTGGAAGGAAGAGACAATGGCATAATTTAAGGTAGTACTCCGGAAGTTGCTTGAAGGGACTGTGGAGAACCATACAGAACCTCGTTAAGGATAGTCGATGTCTCCGCCGAGAATCAAATCGGGTACCTTACGAATTAGAGTGCGAAGTGTCACTGCTTGTGCCAACGCACCCGGGGTCTCAGGTTAGTGAAATTCTCCTGCATGGGACGAGACGGCTGTTTAAGGCTTTCTTGTGTACACCGGACGCAACACAATCGCCGTCACGAAAGACTGCTGTGGGCGGCCGCTGAACATCCACACACCTGTGTAATGCGGGTCTTTATTGGAGCAATAAACACCGCCGCACCGGGCGTGCCACGAACGAGACTTGTTTTCATAAACTGGTAACGTATTGCTTGTCGTTTCAAAATCGGTGTGTCATTTTCACGTGAAAAATAATTTTTTAAGAGTGGGTGTAATGGACCTTATTGTATACTGTTTTAATTGCTCTACTGCGCGGCGGTGTCTTCTACAATTCGTTGTCACCGCAGAATGGACTCTGTGCTTACCATACAGCACATCGCCATTTTCTTTGTCGTCATATCCGGCAACTAAATATTTTTCTTTCCGCACATTTCATGGCCTCTGATTTCGGATCCGGACACCATATTATTGGGAGTGTAAAATTGTGACTGAATAAAGACAGAAAATGAGACTGATGAAGTGAGAAAGTGGGAAATGACAGAAAGGAAGGAGGAAGAAGGGCGAAGAATAAAGAGAGATAGAGATAAAAATGGTAAACTTAAAGTTATCCCTGTCTGTCTTTAATCAGTGAGCACTCTATGGAGACGTGTAGGAGAGTGAAGGCATAGTTCAAGGCATACTTGTCCTCGCCACTAGATGGAAATGAGAGAACATCTTCAGTTCCCGGAGCTTTACCCCTGGGAAAAGACTCTGGCTGGGTATCCATTAGACAGGAGGGTATGTGGGCCTCACAGCCAGTCTGGACGCGGTAACAGAAAGAACAATTTATCTTGCCGGGTACTGAACCCCACATTTTCGGTCGTCCAGTCCATGCCCTAATCACTAGAGTCAATTTTTTTTAGTTATCACACTTTACAAAAAATTCAAATCAATTTTATGTTGTATTTTAGCGTCCTGTTGGACTGATTTTAATCCATGATATGTATACAGTGGCCGTCTTGTAGTGCACTCAATTTCACCTGTTACTTCACATGTTTCGGCAGCATAGTGACATCATCAGGTGCCCATCTATTGCATTGCTTGCCTTTATATGTCTTTATAACATTATTTAAAAAGTATTTAAAAAGTGCGTATTTGTCAACTATAATAAATTTACACACACTAAAACTTGTTAAGATTATTCATCTTATGTGTCTTAATTAAAACTTGCATGTTGTTCTTCCACTATGGGGGTCGTTTTTCTTATATTCTGTGTGAACCGTGTCTTGTGATGTGTGTTCCCTTCTTAGCTGCGAGTGTTGATTAACACGAGTTAAAGCAGCAGAAGCGTAAAGCTGACTACTGATTATCCATCTAAGTCCCATGTCTAGAATGATAGGGGCTTCACCTCATCCCCTATACGCCTACATGTTTTGGTGCTCAGGAACAGGGTTAACTTCACCCTCTTCTAACATCGAAGCCTATATAACCCTTCAAACCTTTAGAGCCACTCGCTTAATGACAGACATTCACTTCTAAAGGTTCTGACGATGGTTTATAATACACAGAATTAGAGTTTTTAGACTTTGTCCATCGTCCAGTATTCTAGAAACTAGAAAACTCAGTGTTTCAGAAACTGTTTCCGTTCTCAAGTGAGCGGGGAAGACACCTACTCTGTTGGGTCTCTTAGAAAGGGCTAACTTCAATCACTGAACCCAGTATTAAAAAGAACCCCCTCTCACCTGAGGACGAAAACAGATCCAGGTTTCCAAACTTTTTTTAGAATACCGGACGATGGACAAAGTCCAAAAACGCAGAAATTCTGCCATATTTCCTTACCTAGCCGTAATGTTGGTAGGACTGTTAAAACACCATGACGGAAGGAATGGTTAGATTATCAATTGCGCAGGTTACGGATATAAATCGAAAAAAATGTGGTAACGGTATATTCGAGCATTAATGTGGAGGAAATGAGGACAGTCACGAAAAATTACTGTTGGGATAGCCGGTTTCCGGGCCAGAATTCGAATCCGGAACCTTGTGAATACGAATCACGAATCGATTCACCAACAGATCGAAATATTCGGTAGAAATGTGGTTCATCATATCAGGCTTCAAGAAAATTTGTCTCTTCACGCCCATGTTACTCAGATACACGCACTCACTCTCACATAAAATTCACAATCATTGCTCGAAAGAAAGAATTCATACTTCTTTTAGCATAAAAATCGTTCAGCGGACAAAAGTACTTCGAAGCTTACCTGTGGCTTCGAGAACTGCTACATAAAGTTGCGTAGTTAAATTTAAACCTCAAAACATCCGGAAACATTGACAACCAGGCGACATGTGCTACTGTTGTATAATAACTGTCCAATAACAGGGACTTTGTAGTCTGATGTTCTTGCAACGTGTCCCCCCCCCCTCCTCCTCCTCATCCTTCATTCGTCTCCTGGATCACATCAGACGATATGTTCATAGGGAAATCCCTTTCATTGTCTTCTGTTTCTTATCACGTCACGTCTTGGCCTTGGTTCGAGCCCAACCGAAAGCCGTCTGCTGAAGGGCGTACTGCGAGTAGAGGATGACATGGACCACAGGAATGTCGGTCCTCGGGCCATAACGCTTTATTTTTTTTGGGGGGGGGCCTCCAAAGGAACAGGGTTCTTCCTTCTAGCTACATGTCACTGTGCCCCCTCAACCCCCCGTCTTAAGTTGCGGATCTCAACATTAATGCGACTTTCATGAAAACTGATATGATTATACCACTGGAGGTCAACGTACTGTGACGTACAGACCCACTGCTAGGCAACGGCTCGATAAATACATTCCAGCGGAGACAGATTCTGGGAAAACAGTCCGTTGTTAGGTGAAGTCTACAACAACACGCGACAATAGTAGGCGTCAATTGCTAAGCATTGGACGTGTTTTCTATGGGTCCGCCCCAAGGCTATATTAGAGTGAATGACTTTGACTCCAGGAGTTCAGTAGAGTAGTCGTTCAGTCAGAACTGAGTGAGCCCTAGGCAGTAATGGAAGAAGGTTTCGGCCGAGGATTTATTGTGAGTTGTAATTTATTATGACTACGAGTGACTGCACAAAGAATGATCAATAAATCCAATCATGCAATCCGAAACCACGTCTTATAAGTGAAAGTATCTTAGTAACAGGCTTAATTAACCCTGTCTTAACCAAGATAAACATTGGGGCAGTTTCGAGGCAAAATGTGTGGTTTCGTTCAGTTAAAATCTACCCAAGTATTCTATGATAGATCCCTCTAAGGCATTTTAAGGGAAACAGAATAACAAAACGACATCCACATTGAATAAGGTGTTATGATGATGGCTGGTGAATAATTACAATATGCACTGTGAAAGTGTAATGACATATTAGGCCTAATCATTTATATTAATTGTTTCTTCATCAAAAATTTTCCACCGTACTTTCAAAACTTTGAACATTCCTACTTTTAGATTCTAAACGGTTCTAACGAGGGTGTATAATACTCAGAATTCCTGGGTTTTTGGACTTTGTCCACCGCCCGGTATTCTAGAAACTATAAAAAACAGCGTTTCGGAAACTGGATCTGTTTCCATCCTCAGGGGAGGGGAGAAGANATGATTTGTTTAGAGGTGACAAGCTGAACGCTGCAAACGGGCCCACTGAGCCAGCCATGGAAGACAGACAAGGGAATGGAACACCTAAGTACTGGGAGGAAAACCTTTGTCCACCCTAAATCCCACATGCACTACCCTGCGATTGATCCTTTGTCAGAACGCATATACAGCGTACTCGTTTTTTCTGCTCAGCCCCTGATGAGGCTGTAATGCCGATAAGAAATAAACGCTAGCCCTCTCAAAGTAAAATTGAGACATGGTGTACTCACATAGTTCTCCTTGAAGCGTTCTGCGTGCATTAGTGTGTTCTTGGCTGACACGATGATCGAAGACAGCAGTTCATTGTCGTTGAGACGTGGAACGCCGTCCAGCTCACTGTCGAAATCATCGCTAGCTCTGATTCCGCAAGGGTTGATCCACTTGGGGTGAGAATTCATGCGCTCGAATTCGAGACTGTTGCGACGAGATGCGGGGGCAGACATGGCCGTCGGTACACGAATGATAGTCAGAAAACACACACACACCACAAGGGCCTCGCTGAATCCTGCAACAATCGAAATTAAGATACGTTGATGGAGAGGCATTATCAAATAAATGTACATATATAAATGCAATGTATGTGACATCTGGGGTTCTCACGTCGGTGTCTTTGTATTTGGGGTGTCTTCTGGTATGGCACGCCATAGGGTTCCTCCGAAAAGTTACAAATATCTACCAGGCTACACGGTCGCTGTATATCCAGAGAAGCCCCTGGTACACTCTGGACAAGGTCTGAGTGATCAAAGATTAATAAGTAGCGAGTAGCGTTCCCTCCTCTCCTACCGCCGTACAGGTGCATTCCCCCCGAACACCAGTAGGCCCTTGTAAGTACCGTGACGTTTCTTGCATAGCAAACAAACTTTGTCATATCCTGGCCGACCACTACTTGACGTAACTACCGCTCCATTGCTCATCCTCTTCCACTTTGGAACTCACGGCACCTTCTATAATATTACTGTGATGTGACGCCTGAAAGCCGGAATAGTGAAGTCAGAATAGACGTTCATTGCTACGTAACAACTCGGTAAACACATTCCCGCGGCAACGAATACACTAGCAACAATCGAGTAAACTCCGTTTCTATGCAACGGCGCTGTGAACATGCCTTCCCAACAACAGAGTAGCTGTGTTTTCTGCGTGGTCCGTGCAAGGTGGTTATAAAGAAGGGTTCAGTTGAGAAGAGTTAGCCGAGTTTCTAGAGGCCAGACTGACAGGATATGAGGTTGTGAGCAGAGAAATTTAATTGAGTCGAGTCTTCGGAATTGGTAGTTGCAGCATAATGGCAAGAAATGAATTAGACTATGATTTGAAGTTACAATGAAACTGTTATAAATCCGTTGCCAGGATTCGACTAGTGAAGACTGAGAAACCTAATGCGTGTAAATGTGAACTGCAATGTGTGTAGATCAGCGATAGCACTGTACTGCCTGTAATCCCGAGTTGTGAATCTATAAAGCGTCAACAAATCCACTCACCAAATCCAGAACCCGTCTTATAAATCTGAAGTTACCCCAAATCGTGACAATATTCTTGCTTTCATGCGAGATACCAATTTTCATGTTTTCTTTAGTAACTATAACTCTCAACCGACTGTAACTGCAAGCAGCAACAGCAGTAGGCCTACTGTTCGAGACCCTAATGGTTCGCTGAACAGACACGTTTTGGTTTAAATGACGAATGTCTATAAATCTGCAACAGACCTGCGCCAAGTGATAAGTCTAATCCGTATTAAGAAGGTCACGAATTGAAATCTCAGCGGGATCACAGGCTCTCTTGGTTCTTTTATTGATTTCTCACAATACGTCTACACAACTGCCGGAATGATGATTCTGAAATAGGCCACGATCGCTACTTCCATGGATTTTCAGCTCGACGGTTGGTCGGGTGGTTAAATTGTTGATGGTTTCGGCAGCACAGTCATTCCTGCCTCCGATCAGGAGCCATGAATGGCTCAATGTGCTGGCTAGGGCCAGCAACAGTTTGGCTGTCAGCACAAAAAGACAGACTCCTCCGCTCATTGAAGAAGAGGGGCCTCGTCTTTCTGTGCGGACAGCCAAACTCAGTGATTCTTGGTTCCCTGTCCCACGGGGCTCCGCTCATAAGACCACCCTACGATAATTAAAACGATTCTGGTGATACAACTTTGCTAAAAAAATATACCAGTCACGTAAAGCTGTATCATGAAACAGAATGATACTGAATTGAGAGAAATATTACACCTAACTCTGCTTCGGATGAGACCTGTTGGCCAAAACTTTTGGGTGTTTTGTAGTTCTTGATTTGTTTTTAAATATATGTGTTTCCTGTAATAGTAATGCGTATGAATCAACACGCTTTGCTCTTTCGGACCAGTTCTCCGGGAGATGACCTCATGACTGCGAATTTTCACTTTATATAGCGACAGTACTGTTACACGCCTTTACGGATCTAGCAGACTTACCCGCCTATCACCGGTGTCGAAGAAGTTGCCTATTTCAACGTGCTCCAATTCCGTAAGGAAGCCCAAGATGATACAGATACCACAGAGTATGTTCAAATTGTAGGACAAGAGGGAAGCCCCTATATATTTCCTTTCTAAGTTCCACATCTCCGAAAGAAAAGCGGATGAAGCATAATACAGGAACGTCAAGTTCTAAGTAGCCAGTTGGCTGCTACAGAACATTCCTTACATAGCAAACAGATGCAGAGATTCCCTGTTTGGGGTTCTCTAACGGTGCAGCAGACGCTCTTACCCTGAACTGTCCAGTTCCCAGACAATGGGACACACTTCGCCTTTGCGAAGCTCCACCCCTGCCCCCAAACTGCGATTATTTTCCTCCATCGGTTGCCCACAAATTAGCAGGCCTGTTTACAGCGCAAGGATGCGCCATATCTTTACTTCGGGTGCAAGCAAACACTGGAACGATGCTAAATGGTTGAGATGTAAACGAACCACGAATGACTAAGCAAACCAGTTATATGAGTATCAAGGCCGCGCCATAGCTCAAGCGGTTAGTCGCTGGCTTCCCACCGCGGCGACCCGGGTTCGATCCCGGGTCTGGTCAAGTGCGATTTGTGGTGGACAAAGTGGCGCTGGAGCAGGTTTTCTCCGAGTACTTCGGTTTCCCCTGCCAATCTTCATTCCACCAATTGCTCCACAATCACCCTCACCTATCATCTGGGGCTGGTACAATAGGCCAGAAGTGGCCGCAGTACACGGGACTTAGTCCCACCCCACTAGTAATAAAAAAATAATATGAGTATCAGGACACCAATCATTTTGATTTTGGACCTGCAGAACGTTGCCCCTGTGCCTATACGATGAGCCATGCAGAAGCATCAAGGGAGTGGAAGTAGAAGCGAAGGTTTATATACACGTACATCAGTGAGTGGTCATCTTCACCTTTCAACAACTTTAAGCGGGAAAGAGAACCATGCACATCTGTTTCTTACAAAACGGGGTAGGCTTCAGACTGGTCTAGACAGAGTGACAAAGAGACAAATTCCTGCCTATGCCGGTAATCGATCAAGGTTCCTCCAGTCTGTATTAGTGACTTCAGTGGTCGAGTTATCCTAGTCATTCTGAGGTGTACAAATGACCTAACTAAACTCAGTCGCGCAGGGTCCTTGTTCAGAAGCCAATAGTTGCGCAGATGGTCAATGAATGGCCTGCAATATATAGAATCCGTATTCACATCAGCCCACCACAAGTTCCCATCCCGAGACAATTTTCCATGTTTAGGTCGTTCTAAAGAATCCGTACAATTACGAGACCTCAGTTAACATTTCCAAACATGCAGTCGCCGCCTATACTAATCTGAAGGACCATCCCTTGTCGGACGTCCGCGACTCTTTCAATACGTTCGCACCTGAACGTCGTGGTTAAGCACTCCCGCTTGTTTTAATGAAGTCCATGTTTCAAACATTGGTCCAGAGACTGGCTATCGTGACAAGCTTATCTCGATTTTCCTCAGTCCTAGGTTAATGCCGGGATATTATCTCGAATTAGGTTACGACCGCTTCCCCCCCCCCAAAAAAAATTCAAATTCATTATTAATTAATCATCCAACAATTCGACGTTATATAGCGCGAGCTACTGAAAACGCAACTAAATTACCTCACGATAAATAAATATACTTTCAGCTACTGTCAGTATCTTGGCGAATTCCTTCAACAGCACCCTGAGACGCGCCACTGAAATAACAGCTACGACGTACACTTCGGCGGGAGGGGGGCCCGACACCCTGCCCGAAGGGGTGATAGGTACGGCGCACTGATTCATCGACACGCGGTGTGTTTCTCAATGACACCGCTCCCACGACCTATCACAATGCCACACACAGCGGCGCCTCTTCATTCATACAAGGCAAGTCTGTCATGCGCGCGTGTCCGTTTCATGAAACGGTTAACTGCCTCTCCGGTGACAGAACCACCGCTGCACATGGCACTCAACACGATCGAATCCTTAGCAACATGTTCTTCTTACATTAGATCTAATGTAACTTCTCGCCAGTGGCAGATCTACGAGCGCACCCGCCTTATAAAAGTACTCGGTGAAAAGTTCTCCCTGTGCTTAACTAATTAAGCACTACGCCATGAAGGCGTGTGGGGAAGTAGACGTATAGATCAAAATTTTCTTGACCTCGGAACTAGTTGGAAGTGAGTGGTCTTGTAATTACAAACTTCCTCCTTATGAAATATTACCTCCGTACCTCGCGTATCGGTGTAGTGGTTAAAATTTCTTTCGGTTAGGAATATCCCAGTTTAAAATTTTGGCCAGGAGATGGGCACCACTAACTCTTTCGTCATTTTGCAAAATAAAAAAACTGTTATTATCTGAAAATATGCTGCAACTACGTTATCCTAGACCCTACCCAACTGGCAACTTGGCTTATCTTTCGACACTATACAACCAATTAAATTTAGAAAGTAAAGGTGAAGTCGTGCATAATGAAATATGGCGCCAAAAACACTTATTTGGAGCGGAGGTATAGATCCACGTGTTCATCAACTCGGAACTGGCAAAGAGTGTCATTAAATTAACAACGAATCGACATCATTTTCTACTTTAAAAAACAGATACATTGTAATATATTTATATAGATAACACAGGCCAACAGCTGTTTTGGTGCCGGGGTATTTGGAGCTGATTTCATATGAATTTGATGCCCTGAATTCAAATATGGCATTAGT